GAGGCGGCGCGGTGCTTGTTGTTCTCATGGCGTGTGCTCATTACATATTCAAGCCCATTAAATGCCTGATCAATCATTGCTTTTTAAATAATCATTCTATCATTTTTTTATGCAGCATGTTTCAAGAGAAATAGCTTTCTTGTCTTCCACAAAGGTGCAGAACTAAAGAGCAACCAAAGCAGCCTTTCTGTAAGAGAGAGAGATTTAGGAAAAGAGCATTTGCTGGTTGCTGGATGGCATTCATACCCCCTTGCCATCCCATTAAGATGTCTAGTTGTCGCTCTCCCAATCACTCACCTTGGGTAAAGGACAGCACTTCTATAGAAGGATACTGGATACAAGATCCTCATCCCTCTTCCAGTTCGGGATGGCACAGCTTGCATGAGTATTGCATGAAGTGCCTCACGACTATTTTAGGTTTATTAAACTCATTTCAGTGACATAAGCTAGCAATGATGTGGGTGAACCTACTTTTCAAAGTGTTTCATGCCTTAGTCTCTCATTTGCTTGAGTGGATAACATGAGATCAGGTTCTGTAAGAAAGAAAAATACCTCTGGCCTCAGTAGAGGATTGCACTTGTATCTATACATTCTGACTCTTCACTATCTTATTGTAATGATTTAAAACAGTATAGTTTCTCATGCAATGTATTTCCTACTGCATTTCTGTTTCTGATAACAATTCTCTAAGAAAAAGTTCATTTATAGTAGGAAAATGCTCAGCCAACAATAAACATACAACCAATTGATTTTTCATGTCCTAGTCAGCTAGTACTGAAAATATTTTAATTGCTGACTTAGCAGAAGAAACATTATTATTCCACATTTTACTATTATTGCTAGCACTCTTACTGTAGTTGAGTAACTAAAAGACTGTTTTTGCCACGCTGAAGTGGCCCAAAAGACCCTTGTTGCTGGCAACTGTATGTGTGGCAGTTACTGTTGCTGACAGCTGTGTTCATTGAGGTCAGTGGAAAGACTCCCATGACTTCATTGAGTTTGAAATTGAGAAATCGAATCTAAGAATCTAAGTTTGGATGCTTCTAAGACACTGTAGTGCATTGTCATCGAATCATTCAGCTAAACGTGTATGTATTTTTATATTTCTTACATAGTTATACTTGATTTTATGAAGACTTAATTGCAAAACAAATACTCTCCAGGCAGAAAAACTGCATAGAGGCAAACCTACAGTTCTTTAAAACCAGTGACATTTTTCCACTGGCCTGTGAATTGCTTCCTACAAAATAAGAATGCAAAATAATGTAGATGATCACTAAATTGCCATGTTATGGTCCAATATAGCTCTCGTCACCTTTTCATACTATATTTGCTTTTTGAATAAAAGCAAAAGTGTTCTCAAAGCAACTGTGAAAACAGGTGGACATTAATTAGAATCTTTTAGGCTGAAAACAACAGGATCACATATCAAAAGGATCACATATCAACATGTGAAACTTGCAAGCATGCCTACAGAACTACTGTAATGGGGGCCCTGATAAGTCTGGAGTGATTAAAAACTGCTGTGCTCCATGCTGACTTTCTACATACATCATTATTTAAATGAATACCATCTTACAAAATATGTTTGCATTTTTGTAACCAAAAAGTATTCTGAAATGCCAGTTTTGGACCCAGACTTCACATTCTGGCAGTGCTTGGATCCATTTGTTGTGGATAGCATGTGGATGTTCATTGCTATTTTTAACTTACGTAATAAGAATTTAATCTTATTTGTTACTCCATCATACTGAAGGCATTCGAAAAGCTTTAGAGTACATAATAAATAATGCTGGTCAGTAGCTTACGAGCACTGTATTTTTTTTCCCATCCAGAATGCTACCAGATATGTCAAAATTCACATTTTGGATTGTATGAGAATGAAATATAAATAAAGCCATGAAACTACAGAAGAAACACTAAAGATGGGGGTTTTTTTCAGTAGTGCTGCTATAACAAAATGGAAATATTTTGTGATGAAAGGCTACTTAAATAAAAATTTAAAATATAAAACATATTTTTTAAGAAAAATAATATTTAAATGTCAAGTAGAAATTAAAGTCCATATCCTATCTGCTTCCCACATACAATTCAAAAGCATATGAACTACTGAAAACAAATGGAAAAAAAAAAAAGTCATTGAGTTAACTACACCGTATTTACTCTTGTTGTGCAACCATTTTACTTCACAGCAGCTCCATGACTTTCTTATTTGTGGAAAGGATGGGGTGAGGTAGAAATGTGCAACCTTTTCTAACTTGCTTGTAGCTCTAAAGTTGGTTTGAAGTCACTGAGCAGGGAAGAAGGCAGGCAACAGAGTGAATGTGATTTCCAAGTTCATTGCAAGTACATACAGCTAAGTATACATTATATCACAAATAATAGTGTATCTGCTCATGCAAGTAAGTGGAATCTACTGGCAAATCTGTACATACGTATCTTAGGAATTTTCATAAGTATACCATGAAGTTCCTGATTCACAAATTGGCATGGCTCCACAAGTAAAGATGTTCAGTGGATACCTGTGGTTCTTGTGTACTGCATACTAGTTTAAATTCTGTGTGGCTGTTCTACTTTATTCTGCTTTTGCTCTAAGCTCTTAATTTTGATAGGCTCACCACAAAAAAACACCAGTCTCTCACATATCTTTATTCTCCTTGTAGTTATAACTTTGTCAATTGTCTTCCTTATTAGCCGAGATGCCCAGACAGTTTCCAAAGCTGAACATCTCTGAGGTTGATGAGCATGTGCGACTTCTAGCAGAGAAGGTATTTGCTAAAGTTCTCCGAGAAGAAGACAGCAAAGATGCCTTGTCGCTATTCACCGTGCCTGAAGACTGCCCTATTGGGCAGAAAGAGGCCAAGGAAAGGGAACTGCAGAAGGAACTGGCAGAACAACAGTCTGTGGAAACAGCTAAAAGGTTTGTTCAGTAGATGCTTTCTTAGTGGAAAATAGTTTTTCAAATGAGTTTGAGTTAATATTGAAATATCTGGCAAATAACATTCTGGCTCTTATTATTTCAGGAGAAAGGTCAACAGCAGGTACCAAGGGCACCTGTGTGATGTCCTTCTGTGCTATGCAGAAGGTGTGGGGATGGGCCCTAGGGAGCTTGGATTGGTGAGGCTGTCTCAGCTGCGTTTCCAGCAATAGCATAGATATTGCTTATGCAAGTTTAACAAACAGCATAGCTGGGTAGAAGTGAACACAACCCTAAGACTCTTTAATGTAAAAGGAGTCAGAAAAAGAAACGCTTCCCCCCACCCCTTTATTCTAGTTTCATTCAGAGAAATGGAAAATCTTAATACAGAGAAAATGACAGTGGTACGATATCTTTTAGTCTCTGTCAAAATAGAAGAAAGCAAAGACTTGACATTTAATATCAAGGGAGAAGGTGAAAAGTGGTATTGGCATAATGAGGTTATTCATAGGTTTCCTTAACTCGCAGAGATAAAATCTAACCACTATCAACCACAAAAGCGCACATTTTGAGTTTTCTCAAAAAAAAAAAAAGTACAGTCCACCTTTGGTTTACCCATGAATCTAATGAAGCCAAACTCGATTTGGTTTATGATTTTCTTCTACAAGAGAGGTAGCTTTACCCTGATGTCAGGCTGTTCCAGTATCTTAACTTCAGTGGGCTGGCTAGACTATTTCCTAGAGTCACGTGAGCTCAGCAGCAGCCTGACACCAAATAGCTTGGATGTGTACAGACTCTTCAAAAAACAGGCAAACAAGGAAGCCTTTGAAAGTGATAGCTAAACACACGTACCCAGTTAGCTGCAGACAATCAGCTGGGCAATGCTCGGCATCATATTTCTGGAACAGAAGGGAGTAGAGTCAATTTAGTTAAATTAAGGTATGACACACTGATGATACAGGCTGAGACTTTTGGTTCTGAATTGTGCAAGTAGGTTTCCCAGTTGGCATGTTCATAGACATAAACAAGCACAGAAGGGAAAACTAGATGTTTTCATTCAAAGAATGGAAGATTTCCTTCTGAACTAATAAGTTTCACTTTTAATTTGGGAAATTGTCTTACAGAAATATGTTCTGTCAAACTGTACCTCAAGTTTTGCACAAGTTTAACTGTCGGAAGTGGGATATTATATGTATATTATTTACATGTGGGAACAGAACAAGTATTCAGCCCTGTCCTACAGGACTGAAGCGTACTTCAAGGACAGTTACACGAATAAAACTTGTGTTGTTTTCAGTTGCAGTTGATCCAACACTGCCTTTCAAGAATTTCATACTGACTTCAAAGGTGGCTACAAGTACTTAAGAGAGGATGGAATTTGGTCATAGGATATTAATCGTACCAGCACTGCATGTTCTTATTCTTCAGAATGTCATAGAAGTAATATGCAACTTCCAGAAAGTATTCCAGTATTCCTTTTTCTTTGTTAGTGGTTCTTACTAACATTTTAAGGTTTTGGCATCTAGTTTATAAAACGAGGAAGTATTTCCACAGTGCAAAAGAAAGTGGTATCACAGGTAGTTTATAACATTATATGTATTTATTATATGAATATTTAAAATACATTTAAATACATTTAAACTGAGTAAGGAAAATTAATTAAATCTTTAGAGATATTCCAAAACTTCACTTGAGGTATTACAGTTACTTCACTGAAAAATACAGCATTCTTTTTTAGCTGGTTTGTCTAAGGTACACCTCTATCGCAGTTTTGCTGAGAAAGGGCAAAAGTTTTTAAATCTATGGGGGTTAGCCATTTAGTGCCTGAGGGGAGGAATGGACTTGCGTATCAAAGCCATACTATGTTATTACTCTGAAACCAACATTAGCTTTTTGCTCAAGTCTCATCAAACACTGCCTAAGGAATAACTATTGCTCATCGTTTTTCTTACAAGTTTAACTGAATGACTATATATGAAATATATTAGTCTTGTCTGACAACTAGATGAGTTTTTAAATCTTGCATATGGGAAGAGTGAAAAGTGTCTGTAATAGCATGATAACTTATAACAACTTACCTTACATAATGTTCACTTGTTTCTGTCTGATACTTCATGGATTCTGATGCTACCAGTCGCTAAGAATCAACTCCTACTAAAGTAAGCACAGTGATTGCACTTTCCTTCTGTACAGTGATTTGCTGAATATGAATTTGTAAGAAGTGAAATAGAACAAACCTTAGGGCATCTTACAGTGATGGTAAATAAATTATGGCATATTGATTTCATGTGGAGGGTAAGTGCAATTGTGTGTAGCATATATCATGTGAAATGTCAATAGAAAAAAGCTAAAAGCACAAATATTTTGTGACCGACACTTTTCCTGTGGCATGAGAGATTTCATTTGTAACATTTCTTAGGGGGTGATTTTGTTGCTGTAATCAGTTTCCCAGTTTATTTAACGTTTTATACCATGGCTTATTTCACGCTTTATACTATGAATTCGTAGGAAGAAAAGTTTCAAGATGATTCGATCCCAGTCCTTGTCGTTACAAATTCCGACTCAGGAATGGAAAGCACCATCAGCCAATCCTGTTCTGTCTCCTGCAACGCCAGTTCTTCCAAGTGCTTTTCTGCCAGTGCAAGTGCCATATGATGTACCAGAGTTTCAGAGAGTTTCAATTAGTGGGGACTACTGTGCAGGGGTAAGAAACTTCACCATGCCCCCCCCGCTTTCTGTATCTAGTGGGGAAAAAAATCCCAAATCACAAGCAGCTAATGTATATAAAGTGTGAAATGCCAGTATACTATGGCTCTCTGCAACAAACTGGAAATTGCTTCGTGAACACATTGATTTGTAAAACAGTTAAAGTCAAGATCAGGTCGTTTTATACTTTTTATCATAAAAAATAAATCGAATAGATAAAAACATAACCAGGCATTAAATAAATGTGTAATATAAGGTAGGAGAAAAAATTTGTGTGTGTATGTTTTGCACATTGTGTTTGGACTTTGCTTCTGTCACTGGCTTCCTGAGGCCTTGCTAAGATCCTTATGGTCAAGCCACATACACTTACATTCCTGGAAATTAAGTCTCCTTGTTACCGGTGTGGATTCAGTTTGTTGCTAAAACTGCTGTTTTATTTTTGTCAGTATTTATCCAGGCTTTCCTTTCAGGTTACAGTTGATGATTATGAACAAGCTGCCAAGAGCCTGGTGAAAGCTCTTCTCATTCGAGAAAAGTATTCACGTCTTGCCTACCATCGTTTCCCAAGAACAACATCTCAGTATTTGTGTAGCATGCAAGATGAAAAATGGAAGGTTGAAGATGAAGTGTATCCAGGTGAATATCCCTGTTCTTCTTTTTAAAATATAGAATTAAACCCATACACTGCTGTCGTAAAGGTAAGCTGGATTTTTGTGATGATCTCTCCTGAGTGTCTTTGCCTCTGTAATTTATTCTGTTAGTAAGTGGTGGAGAACCGATGGACCTAAATTATAAAACCTGCGTCTAATCTGAAACTTTGAAGCTATCGAAAGTTAAAAAACCATACTAGGCGCTCATTGATTTTTTTTTTTTTTTTTTTTTTTTTTTTTTTGGCAGCAAGTGGGATGGTAAGTAGTACACTTGTGTTCCTCCAGGAAAAAGATATATGGATATGGTTTAAAGTGAAAAGTCATTCCTCCTGATCTTGGCATGCTGAAGTAAAAGGGATTATGAGCTCATCTACATTGTAAATTGAAGCACGATACAGACATACCAGTTAGCAAGCCCTGAGTCAGTAATTTCACAGGCATGGCACACTTACCAGGAAGCTGTATAGTCATATTTGTTGGGCATTCTGCCTGGGTTAATAAACTCTGATGTCTCAGCAAGGCTTATTAGGTTGAACATATTCCCCACTACATATGTCACAAATTATATTTGTCACTTAGGTGGGTTTGTCTTGAAAGCTTTGCTTGTGCATTGAACTGTTTGCACTGCTAGTTTTTGGATTAGCCTGTGAGGAGCAACCTTTGGTCTGTACAGATGTGCTACTGTAGATGTGTCCATATTGTTGGCAATATATTCTCAGCCATGACATTTAAAACAATTGCCCTCTAGGTCAGTGTTTGAAAGAGGGTGAATTAACATCTTTTCAAGCATTTTAGAGTGTAAAGAGGACAGTATACTGAATATTTAGGACAGGAAAGATACTTTGGAACAGCTGCCAGGGAGATATTTCTAAGCTATTATTAGGTTAATAACTTTTTTACAGTTAGGATTTTAAACTACAACATAAACAATAAAATCTCATTATACAATGTCTTAATTAGCACAAGTTTGAGCTGGATAATTATGAATATTGGAGATAAGAATGGTATCAGTTTATAACATACATTCAGGTGCTGTAGGTAGATAAAAGGACTGGTTAATGCTTTTCTGTCTTGGCTTAACTGAACAGGTAAAAGAAGAAATCTCAGTGATAAGACTGAGCCCAAGAATGTTATTCAGTTGACATAAATGTACTAGAGACACTTATTTTATGCTAGTTGCATTAGTTAGATATTGTAAAAGAAGCGATGAACATTCACTAGCATGAGTGATGTTTGAGCATTCACATAAGCTGAATCTCCCAGAATTATGTGTGTTTACCTGATTCTCAGAAAAAAAAATTATAATTTTGTAAAGGGATTACAAAACTGTACTGAACAAATCCCAACCATGCTTCTTGTACTTCCTGATTTCAGTCATGATCAGAAGGCCAAGGGGAAAACTGGAGTTGTGTTGTACTATATCTGGCTTTTGCACTTCTTGGTTCTATTCAAAAGCAATTAAACATCAAAATAAGGAGTTTTATTTAACAAAAAAAAACCCAACCCCACCAAACCAAACCAACCAACCAAACAAAACCACAAACGAAAAAACTCCAATCAAAACACAACAAAAACAACCACCCACCCAAACTCCCAAAAAACCTACAAACCAACCAGTGCCTTGGTCAGAGTGAGAAGCACTGAGTTTTAAATTATCTCCTGCTCTACCATGAGTGAAGTATATTCACTAATGGTTGAGAGAAAGAAGAAACAGTCCTAGTATGTATGCACTAGTCTATCTCATTAGATTGTGGGAAGGGCAGAGGTGAAGAAGTAAGGCACAGCCTGTTCTTTTCTGACTGATGTTTCAATATGAGAACAGCTGCATTATTGTGTGCTTAAATACAAACTTCCAAAATTACTACAGTGAGTCAGAAGGTGAAAAGAAAATGATGAAGGTGAGTATGAAGTCAACAACTGTTTTATTGTTCAAAAATCTCAACTGGTACTTTCAACCATCCTAATTTAAATACTTTTGGAAACTTATTTTGAAACTTGTGCCATCATACGTTAATAAAGAATAGTATTAAATCTATTTATACATTGGTTCAGAATATGTATAATATTTGAATTAAAGTAGGCACTTAGCTTAGAGAGGGACTGCAATTAAAGCTTGTCAGAATAAAGCTGTATTGTAACAACAGATCTTTTATAGTAACTGAAAATGTTATTTTAATGAAAGTATAAGATTTGTTACAAATCATAGAATCATAGAAGCAGAAAGTCCTTTTTGTAATTATTTTGCCCTTTGTGTAAGTTATTTCTTCTAAATGTAATGTATATTTATCTCCAGATTTCCATTCGCCCCCAGAAGAAAATGAAGATCCTTACAATCTTGATGATGCTCCAGACAATTTGGATTATGTTATCAAGATAAAAGGTGGCATTCCCTTTGTTTATGATAACAAAGAAATGATGGAACTCAATGAGCCTCGGAGTCTGCCATATCCTGACCTGGAGACCTATACCCTTGACCTGAGCCACGTTCTTGCTCTAATTGCAGATGGTCCAACGTATGTTTCTCTTTCTTTCTTCTCTGCCCTTTCAGGCTGCTGGTTACCTTAAGTTTAACACTTCTCACTTTTGTGACATTTAATTCCTCAATGTACTCATTCTACAGTAATGTTTTGTTTTGCCCTTCTCAAGCATTAATGCATCACAGAAAGACTTAAAAGAAAAAAAAAAACAACACATACAGCTATATTTCATTTCTTTAGTTTCTTTCAACCAACCATGGCAAAATGAGAAGCACTTAACAGAAAAGCAAGAAATTGGCCAAATGTTCCCATTCAAGTCAAATCTGACCCAAACTCTTGAGGCATGGGAACTGAAACTTAAACCTCACCTTTTTAATTTTGTTTTGGCCTATTCTGAATTTGAGGTTTTTGAACAGTTGTCTGGGATTCCTTCATGTCTGTTCTACTCTTGCAGCATGAAGAGAAACCCTGCATATGTAGAGCATACAGAACAGCTCAGCAACTTAAATATTCAGTCTGATTTGTTCCAGATGTCAATTAACTGCTCATATGCCGCAAAACTGATCCATGCATGCACAATGAAAATAGGTCTGAAATTTCCCAGAACCATCAAACTCCTGGGAAATCTCTAAAAAACGGAAATAAAACAGCTCTAGTACAGTCACTGACACACTCATGACAAAGCAGTGTCCTTGCCCAGTGCATAATGAAAACATGTGCATCCAGTTTTTAAGTTTACTTCCCAGCTGAGGACTGGAAACATCAAGGTTTCTCCTGGTCTCAACACCAGGAAAGGAAAAGAATCCACCCTAGGATAGAACAAAGTAGGAACCTGGACTGTTCTTTGGAACTATTTGCCCTGCCTGCCAGCACTGTATTGTTAGTTCTTCTGCCTTTGAGAGATCATCACTTAAAATGTGACAAGTTAGTCACACCTGATGCATTCCTTCCCCTTTGAGTCTGTGTCTGACACCTGCAGCATAATCTGTCTGCCTTGCACATTGATAGTGGCAAAGCAGATGGGCTGAACAGAACTGTCCCATTCCCTAAGCGCTTTTTCAAGAGCAAAAGCCTGTGCTTCTGCCAGCATTATCAGCACTCCTGCTCCAAAGCAAAGCTAGGTTGAGTATGCTTGTTTACAGTATGCAATGGGTAAATGCATTTCCAGTTTCAGTGTCTTACATTCTAAGAGACAGATATTGAGAAGATTAAAGGACAAGGAGGAAAACCTTGAAACAAAAGTCATACTGAAGACCCTTCTTTTTGCAGCTTTTGTTAACAGTCTTTATCAGGAAGCCGTAAGTAACAAGGGCCTTAGTAGGACATCTTAGAACACTCAGAACCTTTGTGAATGTAGGAGCAATCATCTGCTCCTTTCACTTCTTCAGATTAAGCTTTTGCAAGCTGATTCACACGCCCTGATAAATACACACAAACCAAAAGGAAAAAGTCTTCTCAGTAATCCTGTTGCATAAGCTCTTCATACAGTATTGTTTCCCTGTTTGCAGCAAGTGCTTTCCTGTCATTTATGTCTATTGCACATGGGGCTGCTTGGAGATCAAGAACCCACTGTTCTTTAATCTTTGCTGTTCTTAAACTGGTGAAATCTCACCTCTACTCCTCAGTCTTCTGGTCTCTTGAATAATAGTAATAATCCAACAAAGACTTCCTGCAGTGGGCAAATGGGTCTTGATCAGTATCAGATACAGTGAGACTGTGTTTGAATTGGACTTTCAAATCCATAATGGGATTTGTGTCCCATTGAGGAGAGATTGTCAACAATAAAGCAGAAAAAGAAAGCTATTACATTAATAGTTCTACAAAAATATTGTGGATTCAGTAAGAATTGACAGATGGTGAAAAGAAAAACCATGTCATTGGTTAAAAATAGAATGAGAAACTTAACAGAAGATGAAAGTGAAGACAGAGGAGTAGGCAAGCAGGAGCGAAAAAGCATGATTTTTCTAAGAAGAGCACAATAAATTATTTGGGAAAAAAAGTATTTCTACACAATATATGTGGTTTTAAGGCATAAAAAATGAAAGTATATTGGATCTTATCTTGGCTTCTTATATTCACATTGAAAAAGCAAATAAACTTTGGGGAATTCTTTTTTTAATTATTTCCATAGTGAGTAAGTCTGGATTACAGGTTGTTTCTGTTATGTATGACGTGATCTGCTCTATTGGAGGTATAGTTTCAGAGTAGTAGCAATTGACATCACATTTTATTATAGGTTTTATGCTTTCTCTGGTCATCATTACTAAAAGAACTGCAGTTTTTGCACAGATACAGTGATAAAAATACTTGGACAACTTAAAGGACATAACATGGTTATGTAGAGTTCTGTTTGAGGTTTCACTAATAACTTTGGTCTGAAATCATATTGGATATTGACTTACATATTTGTTAGCCAGTAGGATAAGAAGAATGGATTTGTCTTGGTCTTAAAAAAATGTTTATTTTCACTGTGAAAACTTTCAAGTTCTTTCTGAACTTGAAATACAAATAGTTTTAAGTTACAGTTAATTTTTGTGTTTTCTTTTACAGAAAAACATATTGTCATCGGAGGCTTAACTTTTTAGAATCTAAATTTAGTTTACATGAGATGTTAAATGAAATGTCGGAATTTAAAGAACTAAAGAGTAATCCCCATCGAGACTTTTATAATGTGAGAAAGGTAAGTGAAAAGGATTAAAGGCATGACACTGTTTTTAGTAGGAGTTCCAGCAATTTTGCTTTTCTTGGGTGAGGTGTAGATGATATGCATGAAGTGGTATGTGCATACCACTCAACTGAATTACGTTATTTTAAGAATGGGCACACTCGAGGAAAATTAACTTGAATGTAAGTGGGTTAAATGGATTATGCTAAACTCAGAATCAAAGGGGCTTAATTGTATGCAGATTGCTTTAAAGGTGTGAAGATCACTTGGATTATGAACAAAAGTACCCACATGGAGGTTTAATTCATTTTAATTAATTCACTTAAAGACAGTCAAGTGCATATTCCTTCTTTCATGTAGGAAAGTCATACTAGACTGTAGTAGGAACAGCTGTATAGATTTTGGATGAAAATTTCACTTCATATTGAAAACAGGTGTTTAAATACATGTCAAAAGAAAAAAGACCTCCCACAGAAACTGAACTGAGGGTTCACGCTGCCATCAGCATCTGGTAAAAAATGTCTGTGAAATATTAAGTAAAAAGATTATTTGAGTTATATTCTTAGCTGCCTCTAATTAGGAGACAGGTAGGGGAATCAAGGAGCTGATTTCATTTCCTGACATATTCACATTCAAGGGAGCTGCATTCTCTTCAAAGCATGGAAACAACAGCTGCTTTGTTTGCTTCCCTTTCCTGAAGTTGAGGAAGTTACTGGAGAGAGAATGCTTCAGTTTGATAGGTGAGATTTCTTCATAAAGCAGTCATTTTTGCTGGTATTTTTAACCACTTCAGGTCCATTTTGCATTGTTTCTATAAGCAACTGGAAGAGGTGGTCCTTATTTTGTAACTTCAGGGTTTAGATCAATACTTTAATCCTTCTTGTTATGTTTTGGTTAGCGCTAGTACATCAAAAAGTTCTTTTGGCTTTTAGCTATAGTGTCCAGTGTGCTGGCTACTGAATGTTTGCTATTGTTATGGTAATAAACTGTCAAATACAAAATCTGCTAAACAAAAGTGTTTGATGAATGTACCCCTGTCTATCACAAAGCTAGAAGCAGATGGTTTGTTAGGTAAATGCTAATGAATTTCACACTTTTATCTGTTAAGCGTATAGATGGGAGGATCTATTAGCTAATTCACTCAAGCAGGACTCATGTGGCAGAGACTTGACTCCTAACTCAACAGTTTTCTTGCATTTCTTGGACAAGATATTTACTCCATGCCACATTCAGATAACACACTTAACTAGCTGACAGAGACATTAATAAAAAAACACATGGTGACTGAGAGGCGCAAAGGACAGAGGTGTGGATTGGGTAACTGCCTAGACAATCGATTTGATTACTGAGAAGCTGTAATTAACAGGATTGTACTTGCTAAGTTCAGCTTTTGATTTAAAAGCAAATGTTCAATGTCTCTGGGCATATCTTAATTATTTTCTAATTATCTACAATTAAATAAGCCAATCTACAAATGGATTCATGTTGTTCAAAAGCACAAAATGTGCACCACTTCCCCTCTGGCAATACCCAAATTCAAGAGAGCAGGAACAAGCTTGCTCTTCTCTGGCAGAGATCATTCCTACTGCTAGTTATAGCTTTAAAAATTGTTGCTGCAGAGAGTTAATCTTGCTTAAAGTAGTACTTTTATGAAGCAGGCTTACAAGTAGTATTTTTCTGAAGCACTCTCTGTGGAAAGTAAACTGCATTGTAGAGTTCCTGTAAGCCCCCAAATAATCTTGTTTTCCCTATGTCTTGCTAACCAAAGCAAGATCTGTAACTTCCCTGAAGTGCTTCCTCCCTAATAACAGTATCAGCAGTGAGACTTATAATATGAAACAGACACTTCTAGGGCCTATGTTTTCAGGATGTCTCTCTGTTAGTCAGTCCTAAACAGTGCGTACTGCTCATAAGGAAAGCAAGAAGTAAGATTCACCTCCCAAAAGAGCTGTTAGTGAAGTTGTCTATTACATCCCTCAGACACTAGTGTGGACATCCTGGTACAATCTGTTTGCTTATATAAAAGAGCCAAAGTAACTGATGGAAAATGCCAAAATTAAAACAGTTATGAAGGTAATGACAAGGTCAATCAGTGAACATGTACTAGAACATGCATTTAGAAAGGTACAGTAGAAAGCTGGCCAGCATTATTTGCTGGCATGACAATCAAAGGTTCCTGGTTTTTTGTTTTTTTTTTTTTTCATTCTCCCTGCCCCCTTCCCGCCTTTTTTTCCTGGTTTAATAGGAGCTCTTCTCCAGTGAGCTCATCTATTTAATAAATCCCAAGATAAGGCTCCTATTAAATAACAGAAATATATGTGTAGATCTTACATATTGGACTTAACCAGAATGCAACCAAAGATATGTTTTGCACTGATCAAGGTGGAACTGGAAAATTGCCCTTTAATAACCAGAGAAATACTTCTCTATTTCTCTAACCAGACAAGAATCCACAGGTGGTAAGACAGTGTGGCTGGCTCCACTTAGCTCCCCAGAGGACGTGGACAACTGTCTGTGTAGGAGAACTCTAACTTTAGAGAAGACTCTTGAGTCTGCCATCAGCAGGGCTCTCCTATGTTCTCCAGCTGATGCATAGCAAAGTGCAGTCAACACAGATTCTCCACATAACTCCTGGGTTGCCTGCATTAAGGATGAAATTAAGTAATAAGAGTTTAGCTCTACATCACACAAACTCAGAACTGAGTTTTAGCCTTTGTGTACTAGGGTGTCTTGCCTTCCAAAGCAAGTATGTGAGGTTTTTTGAGTGGGGCTTCCAACAGACCACTGTGCCCAACAGCCTCAGATAATTCAGAGCCAATAGTTCAGGTTTTTTAGCTGAAATACAGCTTCAAAGTAAAAGACCTACACCTAAATATTTTACTTTTATTAAAATGTTGCTAATTGCAGGAGGTATTTACTGTGCTTTCTTGGTCTTGGAGCTGTTCTTGTTATTAGGGACTTTGGTTTGTCTCTATTGTTCTTTCTAGGGGGGAGGTTGTTGCCTTTTTTTTTTTTTTTTTTTTTTTAAAAAAAGGTGAAGCCAAGGTATTTGTTTACCTAACATGTATTTGCTGCCTTAATGACGCGTATGTATGTACTGCATTGGCAGGTGTCCTTCACTGCAAATAGCTTTGATACAGTTTTCTAAAGAAGAAAAAATGACAGCCTAAGCCTCCTTCCATATTCTTTCTCTCTTTAGTCACTATTTCAGCGTGAAGATTATGTCATAGCAGTGACTTTTACACATCATATTCCTCTGCCTACAAACTCACTAGCTCAGATGCCTAGCCTTGTGTGGCAGCAGAGCTTTGGCTCAGGCTGGGGTAACTGTGCGTGGAAGAACGCAGTTTCTAGAGTGGCTGATACAGCCCTGCTGAATTCTGCGTTGCAATAGCTGGTTGCTGCCGTGACATACCATTTGGTCTAGACCGTTGCAACTGATTTTTTTTTTTTTTTTTTTAAAGTATTGGTTAGACAAAAAGGAAGTAAATTCTAGCTTTTGTTTGTGACCACAGGGTTGAAATACCACTTGTTACTTCTAAGAAAGGAAGTTAGAGTGCGTTTATATACTTCTAAATTCTATAGAACTCACAAAATACTGAATGAAATTAACAGATGTCTGCTTTTTAAACATATGATTAAAAGCCTCATGAGTGAATAGTGAATCTATACCTTAACTGCCCTGAACTTTGATTCATTCTGAGGTTGCTTTTTTTTTCCTCTTTTTTTTTTCCCCCAGTAGCTACTTACTGACTTTGGTGATGAAATCCAGTTTCATCATATAAACCAAAAGTGATAGTGAATGGGAAGACATATGGGTTAGCATCAGATTCAAATGAATGCCTCTGTGCACCTCTGTTAGTATTGCATGTAATGGTGCCTTACCACTGTTAACTGGCAGTAAAGCTGTATTTTGTGCTTTCAAAGCACTGTACATACTACTTCTCCCCTCCTATCTCGCAGAGATGCTGAGGTAAATTCTCGTGTCTACCCTTAGTCTTGCAAGTGAGCACAAAATGATCAGGCGGAAAGCCATCAATCATTACAATGCAAAAATTCTGTAAAGACCATAAAGAAAGCTTTTCCTCTATCCTTTCTTTTAGTAACTAAAAGAACAGAAAAAGAAAATTGTTTCTTTTCACAACAGTGTATTTCTGTATTCGTGTGAATACAAACATTATAGGGCTTGATTCTGTGCATTTTGCAATGAGTACAGCCACACAAGAAGTTGGAGACACAGGGATTTGTCTCTCCTGTCTCTTCTGGTTTCTGGGTTGCTCTTGATGGCATAAGTATGAATTAGACAAGCTCCTGAGGGGCTCTGCCCAGCTCTAGGGACTATTTCGGCTGCCAGGAGCATTACTGCGCTACCCTAGGGCAGAGTATTTTGTGTCTTCTGCCTCTCATGCCTGTTACAAAGCTGCAAGGAAAGAATCAAGCTCATTGTATAAAGCTGTTGCATCCTATCTGAAAAGCTAATGCAGTATGAATATATTGGTAAGCAGGGAATCTGGCAGTGGGAGTGGAATGATTTCCCTTCAATCCAGCATTAAAGTAAAGGCTGCAGAGGATTTAGTGTCAAGTTCATGAAGCCCATGGCTATTGGGGTAGAAGTACTTACGAGTTAAAGTGCATGGGTTTAGAAAATCAGTTAGTTTGCAGCTGTGGATACTACTAATCTGATATGCACAGATAAGCATCCATAAAATAGATCCGAGATGGATGTTTTGTGGAGATTTGAGAGACAGTGGAAGGAAAGAGAAGCAATGCAGGAAGATGAAGGAGGCAGAGTGGTTTAGGGAAGCTGGTGCTGGTGAGATGTGACTTGGAGGGCAGTGGGAACTCCTTCAAGCTCTAAGTTGTACACAGATGTAACCACCTTAACTGAGAAGTACAAGCATTTAATCCACAAAGCCTGCAGACAGAATGGTATGGGTGGTCAGTCAGCAAGGAAAGGAAAGGCTAGCCTGAACTGAGAAGGTGCAGAGGAAGGCAGGCTGGCTTCATTACATGGAGAATTGCTGAGTGAAGGGAATTCTACCATCCTTTAATTGCAAGAAAACTGATGTCCACCATTGCTTGAATGAGACGATGGAATTAAAAGAATTAATGAAACATTTGTGTTAACAATTGTTTTCATTTGTTAAAAAGTGAGTTCACTGAAGGTGTATTATGTGTTCCAAGATAGGCTTCTGTCAGTCATTGTGTTTCTTCTTTTCATTGAAGATTAATGTGACCTTGAGTAGAAGTTTCCTCCTGGCGGGGAGGGGAGAATAAGAACTGCAACAGGAAATTTGGCTAAGGGCATGCAGCCGAGTTTTTTTTTCCACTAAGGGGAAATTGGGCTGGAGTAGTATTGTAACAAATTTGGACATGCAAGCAGAATGTTTGCAAAAAGAAGCAAATAGATCTTGTGATAGTAGGGGCTTGTTACTCACAGCCCAGAAAAGCCTCAGCTTACTTCATGTATTGTATGAAGAACAAAATAATAACAGCTTAAAACGGGACTGGTTTTGTCTCTTTTGGGGGGAGGGAGGAGGCAAAGGGGACATTTGTCACCCTTATATGAACTCAATCTGCTAGAATTCTTTTAGTAGATGCCTTTCATAATAAATAACAATGAAATTAGTAACAATTTCTTAGCATTGTAACATTTCAAATAAATAATAATAATTAAAAAATCCTTAACCAAATCAGACCATATAAGATACGTCTAAGGATTCTGTGTTTAGATGCTTCATTTAGATAGGATTGCACCCTGAATTGTGAAAATGCACAAAAGCATACACACTAATTAATTATGTGCTAGGGTAGGTCAAAGCTCAAGTCATTAAAATCTTCCAAAAAGTTGCATTGCTTCTAAAAAACAATGAAGAAAAAGCTGTGTGATACTCTGTAAGACTGAAGTTGCTGCTTACCTAAAGGTCAAAATATACCACATAGTTAAAAAAGGTAGGCAAAGTACTGCATAGTTTCTGGAAAAAGCATGAAAGAGACTCCGGGAAAGTCTTTTTACTCTTGGGAAATGAATGTATTGAGGGAGAGGAGGAAAAAAAAAAAAAAGGAAAATCTTGATTCTCAGAGATCAGCCTGATGTGGTTAGCTCAGCTATAGAGCTATGTGTGATATAGTTGTGTGGACTGGAGAAGATTTCACAGGAGCTCACTGAATTGCAGAGGCACACTTCAGAGAATTATTTCTCAAAGGGAAGCAGGACTTTAAAAGAAATGTAGTTACTACTGTGTCATGTGATCCTTGCATACAAGCAAACAAAAGAAACAAAATGTCTCCTTGCTTTCCGTCCTTGCCCTCCTAACAGTAGTGAATTCATGTTGATTTAAATAAAGAGGAAGTGTTTTGGTTTGGTTTGGTTTTTTTCAAGACTCATTAATTCCAGTAGCTGAGCCACCACTGGAACTAGTGCATTCTGAAATTCAATAAATCCTACACCTGATATTCTATGCATATGACTTCTATGCTTTACCTGAACGTTTAGAGCTTATAGGGCATCTATTAACTGTTATTTCACTCTCCCATATAAGTTGACCAAGCCTAATAGTTTGTAGTATTTCACTGGTCCAGGAAGAGTTTATAGTAAACAATATTTGTTTCTACAACAGAAGATGTTTATTAACCTGAGTAAGCATATATATAATGCAATGGGGTTCAAATGTCTATACAAATACTCTAAAGAGTGTAATAATATGTTATGTGGAGCTGTTTTTACTGTTTTAGACACAGCATTGTTTACTGTGCATTAGTAATGTACTTCATGTTGTGTATTTCGAGACAGTAATATGTTTCTTGCTCTTTCATTTAGCTTTAAAGTGTCTAGCATATTTGAACTAGGCAGTGATTAACAATTAAATGTTAATGTTTAGGATTCAGTTTATAACCTGGTCTTTAATCATGCTATTAACATTCACATGGAGATAGATTTACCCTTAGAAGGCTGCAACAAATTCTGTATGTATAAACTCCAAATTAAATTACTACATGACTACATGTGCTAAGTAAAACAGTGGCATTTCTGTGGACTGTATGTCATAGCATAAGCTAAGGTTTACATTGCAGGAGTATGGCTGTTACTTATTCAGCTGCTCCGTGATCTGTTTCCTACTGATCCTTAAAAGCAGATCAGGATGTCAACTACTTCTGTTGGTGGAATCTGAAAGCTGCAGACATAGTCATTACACAAAGGGGAATGCACTGGTCTCACGTTGTACTTGCAGTTTCCTGGACAGAACAGTCCTGGATGAGAGTCCTTGCAGAGATGTAGCTTCAGTGATTCCTTATAGCTGGTTTATCTGAGAATTCCTTCTAGCGTGACCTCCTGCATACAGGCTACGCAGCTCTTGTTGGAAGTGTGTCCCTGGGAATGCTAGTTACTTGCATTTTAAAAAGCACAGTGCAGTGGGTTCAAACTGTTCCAATGTAGTAAGTATCTTTAGGAACTTTTATCTAATGTCAGCATCCAATCTTCGGATCTTGTTACGTCATTGCTTGTGAGACTGAAAAGCCCCCTCTCTGCCTCATGTTTGGATGTACAAATACCTGTATATAGTTGGTCAAATTAACTCTCAAATTGCACCCTGAAAGCCAAGTAAGTTTCATTTTTACAATCACGTGGCAGTGTGGGTTTTCCAGCTCCTATTTCCTTTTGTGGCATTTCTTGGGAATGTTGACAGTCTCTGGGTTTTTTAAACCTTTAAATGTAGACAGCAAAACTGGGTGCATTCTGACAGCTGCATTACCAGTGTTGTGCAGAAGTAAGATTTTTTTTTTTTCTTCCTTTCTTCTTTGAAGCTCCTTTCTTACTCTGTATGAGGAGTTAGAGCAGACCTTTCCACTACAGTTTCACATAAGACTTCATGGTGAAGTGTTACTTATAATAATTCCAAACCATCTCCTGCCAGTATATAGGACAGTACTGTGTTGTGCTTTTTAGACTTATCTGAACCATACCGCCCCTGTTATAGATCATCTTGAAACTTGTATTACAAACTGTCTTGCTTCCTACTCCCTCTGCAGAACCATTCTGCCATTTGGTCTTGTAAGACTTGTCTCCAGTACCAGGCAGTTGGTGCACAAGGCAGATGTTAGAAATAGTGACAGTTGGCGATTGCTTCTGACCGCATCCCTGTGCTCACGGCCATCTGTGTCCAGGTAGGGCCTGGGCTGGAGGAAAATGGGAAACTTAGCAGACAGGCTGCAACACTGTGGCTTGTGGGTGAGCTGAAACTGCTTCTGCTAGGATTTGGCAGTCTGGACTTGAAGGCAATTTCAGAGTCTGTCAAGCTGTCCCCAGGGCCATTGTGCTCATTACGTGTCAACTTTGAAATCTAATCAGAACAGTGGTTTGTTTTGGTTTGGTTTTAAATTGATAGGCATTTGTTGGTAGAGTAATTTCATTGTTTTGCCTAGGACATGCATTAGGTTGTTTTGTTGTTCAATCAGAATTTCTCAAGGAAATTGAAAGCAAATGGACCCTGGAGCAGCAGCTCTGCTGCTCCACACACTGGATATTGCTGTGCTGTTAGATTCCTTAAGACCATTATCCTAGCTAAGGCCTATTCTTCCCTTTCAGGTACTTGGTCCTTAGGAACTGCAGTTAGTATTACCTGCCTTTTCAAACAAGAAACAGCTGGGGAATATACATGGTTTTCTTCTATTCTTTATCGGTGTAGTTAAGATAATAAACCCTTGACTGCAAGGAACTGCAACGGATTCGTTTTACATACATGCTGGAGGCACCTAAGGAATTACACATACTGAAGGGAAAACTTAAATGAACAAACAAACCCCCAAATCTCATCAGTTGTTTATTTGGATTGTGTTCTAATACAGGCTGCTCAAATAGCAGTGCAAGCTTCTGAGCAAAAGAAAAGCATACCTGTGGAAACCATTTGGTTCTTGTCAATTTTTTTTTTAAATGGGACTTCAACAAAAAACTGAAGTACTCTCAGCCCTTCTGTGAAGCTTGCACTTCCCTTAGTGTGTGAAGAGATCTGAAGAAACTGAAAAATCTGTCAGCATTATGAGTTGCTGTATTATAATTAAACTTGGAAAAAACAGTGACAAAATCTCTTACGTGTACATTTTGCAGTTCTAGTGACCTAAGATGTTTCATGTGGTTGAAATACAAAAATGAATTATGCTTTTGGAAATGTCTGAGAATTCCAGGTCCTTTCAGTCAGAGAGGATGGTTATAACTGCAGTCTATAACTAGAAAGACATCACTGATTCATGGGTGAAATAAAAGGATACTAAAGGATCAGGATTCCTTTACGGAAGTATCAAAACCCAGGTTCTGTGATTGGCACTTATAAAGTATCTTAACTTGTTGAAAATTTTCTTATTTAAATAGGAAACTATTAATTGAGGGCTATTTTATTTATAGTTCTGCTTATTGAATAATTCCTCCAAAACCAAAATCTCGGGGTTCTGAAACATTTTGACTTGCTTAGGCACTAATCCATTTGTTACTTAAGGAATATTTTAGAAGGTTTTAGTCATTGTTGTCACTGACATAGATACTTTGCTAATTTAAGTTTATGTATATGGATGATGAGCATGAATAACCTTTTGATTTCAGGTTGATACTCATATCCATGCTGCTGCTTGCATGAACCAGAAACACTTACTGAGGTTTATTAAGCACACGTATCAAACGGAGCCCGACAGGATTGTTGCAGAGAAAAAAGGCAAGAAGATGACTTTAAAGCAAGTCTTCGAAAGCCTTCACATGGACCCTTATGACCTCACTGTAGACTCTTTAGATGTCCATGCAGTAAGTCTATTAAAATGACAAAATAAATGAGAAAAAACTGTTTTCTAAGTGTGAAATTCTGATTTCTACAGTTTTTTGCATGATAACTTATTAAATCAGAATTTGAACTCATGCATTACTTTGCATGTTTGAAGTAAGTTAGCATAGGCTTTTTCTTTTCTGTGCCTTTTATTGCTAGGCAATTTAATTTATAAACTATTGTGTGTACTTAAAACCATGGTTATTTGTTTTTTTTCCTCCTCCAGGGTCGTCAAACATTTCATCGATTTGACAAATTCAATTCCAAGTACAACCCAGTTGGTGCCAGTGAGCTGAGGGACTTGTATTTGAAAACTGAGAACTACATTGGTGGTGAATATTTTGCTCGTATGGTCAAGGTAAGTAAGTTTCAAGCTTTTCCAGCTGTAGAGAAATGAAGGTTTGTAAAAGATTTGTGATGTCATAATTGTATCTAGAGCTAACACTATGGTTAAGTGATTCCAAGTATTGGGCTTGCTGTAGCAATTAATCAGAGAGAGACCTCTGCTAAGTCAGCCACTGCTGCTTTCTAAATAATTTTATGAGTTAGAAACTCATACACATAATCTGTCTATGAGTTCAAAGCAGGGTTGTGCAGTTTCAGACTAATGGAGAGCATCCAAGGGTCAATTCACTGGCTTAATATTTTTTAGGATGTAGTTGGCTAGTGGTAGCTGATAGGGAAGGAGGAGCTAGGGAAGCATCTCTACATAAATCTGTATCTGCACATGCATGCACAGGCTTCAAATTCATTTCTTACAACAAAAGAATTAGTAGTTTTCATGAACTAGATGTCAGCTCTTCTTAGATGTATAGAAGTGCTTGTCTAAAATTAATAGCCTTAAAATTGCTTACTACCACGGATTCTGGGTCAGACTCTCCATTGGTCTGTGTATTTTATGTAGTCATTTACTACAGTTTAAATAGTATAATTCTGATTTACCAGTTTTAAACATATGTCTTACAAAGGTGTTAGTTGTAACTGCACAAGCATATTGTCCTCTAAATCTAGGTGTTAACAGTTAGTTATACTCAAATGATATCTGAGATAGCTTGCTAGTAGAATATTTAGATGCCTAAAATAAAATAATGGATTAATAGACGAGAGATTCCCTTTATCTTTAAAGGTGACCATACAGTTACATCTGGTCTGAGGAAAATACAATGATAAATATACTACGAGCTGTAAATGATCTTCAGTGTCCATATTAAAGCAAATATATTTATTACTTAATAGGAAGTAGCCCGTGAACTAGAAGAAAGTAAGTACCAGTATACAGAACCCCGCTTATCCATTTATGGACGGTCTCCAGATGAATGGCTGAACTTGGCAAAATGGTTCATTAAGCATAAAGTTTATTCCCCTAATATGCGCTGGATAATTCAGGTTCCCAGAATCTAGTAAGTAATCAGGAGCTCTTGGTAATTTTAATATAGTTTGAAATCATACCAATGATTTGTTTTAACTTCTGATATTTTTTAGATGGCTTATAGGTTGTCCTGTAGTTCTATTTATAAGCAACAGTCTGGGAAATTTATTCTTGACCATTGCTGCAGTTTTCCTGACAGTCTGGGGGTGGAAGACAGGAGATGGGGTTTGAATCTACACTTTATGAAGCTATTCAAAACTACTGTGAATTATTTATAAGTCTGAAGATAATAAAAACAAAAATTACAACTGGGTGAAATTAAGCTGCATTCAAAGGCAAGTTAAAATACAATTTAGTAATGAAAATAAATCAACTCTTGAATTCCATAAAGGAATAGAAAATGCTCTGTAAAACTGTTATCATCAAACTTCCTCAAGATCAGTGACTAAATGACAGTGAACTTGGAAACGCAACCCAGATTGCTGATTTGCAAGCTTAAATCAGTACCAGTTTTTCTTACTTTTTAAGCATCCTTTGGGACTTCATTAAATGGTTCTTTGTTTCTAATACTGTATATTGTAATACAATCTCCCATGATAATTTTTTCAGTCTTAATAGCTGAGCTTCATGTTTTGAAATTGCATAGTTGGAATATGAGTAGAGAAAGAGCTGTCATGGTCGCATATATCCCCCAGAGTGTGTTTCTCATTAGGGAAAAAGTTTCTCTCCTTTGATTTCTTATGTAGCAATTTCTTAAGTACATAGCGGAGTCAACACTTTCATTAAGTCACGCACTTAGTGACACACTGAAGTACTGTCCCTCCTTTCTGAGAGGCTCACTAGAGCAGAACATTCTACTTTGTTTTGGAGTAGTTACAACTTTGGAAAACAGAATCTTTCATGAGAGGTAATTCCTTCTCTCTCCTATTAGTACTTGGATTGTGTAAGGGAAAGGGTCACCGTTCTTGAGACAGCATCTACCCCTGCTTAGTGTCTCTATTTTTGGAGCACTCGGGAGCTTCAGCAGAGCCTGCATGAAGCAGAGTGCCAGGCAGTGCAGGAAACAGAGCACAGAGACAATCCCTGCCCTGACATAAACTTTAAATTTCTGAATCCTGGTAGAACTGAAGCTGTAGAATATACACAAATAACAGAAAATATGCAAGTGGAGGAAAAATACAAGCTGATTAAAGAATGGTCACAACTGTGTATATTTTTTCCCCTTCAGTGACATATTTAGGTCAAAAAATATTCTGCCTAGTTTTGGGAAGATGTTGGAGAACATCTTTGTACCTTTGTTTGAAGCAACAATCAATCCCAAAGACCACAAAGAATTGCACCTTTTCCTCAAATATGTAAGTATGTTTGGATTTTCTGTCTCAATGAAATGGATCCTCTTCTACTCATAAATTCTGTTATCCACAGCTGTTTCCAGACACTAAAAAAGCTTCCTCCTCCATAGATTGCTTGTATTATTGTTTTAAAGCCCTGACATACAATTTAATAAAAGCCTCGGTAAGGTCCTTTTGTCAAATAGTTGCTGTTTATCTCCTCTGAAACAGCTCAACAGCTACTTATTTGTCCTCTTGGTAATCCTCTCTATAAAGAATGACCAAAAAATGTTCACATGCTCTTGTGCAGAGGGAACATCGTAATCCAGGAGGTGTACTTTGAGCTTGCCTCTGGGACTGGCCTCCAGAAAGGAGGCAACTGAAAGGAAGCATTGTGTAGATCTTGATGGGACTCAGGAGAGATGTGGGGATGTAGCTGCTGGGATGTAATTAAATGTTTCTGAGTATGCCCCAAATCAGAACTCTGAGGTTTCCTGGGAGCCTCTGGCCTTCAGCTGCTTTTCAAATAACAAAGCAGATGAGTTTAAAGGATTATAATCTGGACTTCAGGGAGTTTTACAGGCCTAAGCCCCCCACAGGAGTCTGAAGGCTTTTGTGCACCTGGGCCTCCTATTTGTTTCAGAAGAAAATAATGGGTGAAACCTCCTTCAAGAAAACACATTGTATGGTAGGAGGACAGAGCAGCAGGACTGCTAGCATAAAGAAGGAAACGAAGAAAGAGGACTAGATGCTTTGTACAAGCAAGTTCTGAAGCAAGAGTAAATAACAATGAGGTTTGCTTCTTGAAAACACTGATTTCTGTGAATCTCTTCTCCCACCAGGTGACTGGCTTTGACAGTGTTGATGATGAATCCAAACATAGTGGCCATATGTTCTCTGACAAGAGCCTTAACCCTGACCTCTGGACCAGTGAGAAGAATCCCCCGTATAGCTATTATTTGTATTATATGTATGTGAACATCATGTTGCTAAACAACCTTAGGAGGTAAGTAGTCATTTTTCTCTTTTACAAGCTTCCAGAAAGAAAAATCAACAATCTTGGTCTCAATCTAAGTCAGTGTCTAGATCATACATCTTTTGAAGCAAAGGTTATCTTGAATTATTTTAAAGAGTCCAAGAGGAGTACATAAGTTATTTTGAAAACATTAACTGCAAAATTAATTCAAATGAAATATTCAGAAATTGTAAAGGCATCAGATTAATATCTTGGTTTCACGTTTGTGTGTATTTTTGTTTTGTGAATTCCTTAAACCTGAATGTATCAAACAAAACAAAAGAAGAAACCCCGCAAAATTGACTTGTTGACCTCTGCTTGGATTTACAGTGGATTTCCAAATATAATGTACCTCTTGGTAGCTTGCTATCTCCTGTAATTTAAGAGATACAAAGTTATGTTGTGAAATAAGGGCTGCTGCTGTTATCAAAGATAGACAAAGGAGGACCTAATTATAAACTGCACATCTAGCTAACTTACTTTAGCGTGCTTGTTGACTCATTCAGTTTTACTACTTTCGAGACCAATGTCTAGGCAAGTAATGGAGGGAGTTACGATACTGAATGTGAGATCATGACTGTAAAAACAGATTTTGGCATCAGGCTCAGTAAAGCCTGAAATCCAACTTGAGGTTACATTCCTGACTTCGTGGCTGACTCACTGAGTGATCTGCACAACTGACTCAAATTGAGGCACAGTGAGGTTATCCATTGATACTATGTTGTCATGACTCACCTTGCAAGGATTTGGTTCAATATTATTTATAAAACATTTTGGGATTTTCTTATAGGAGGTGCACAGATTTGTCATTTTAACAGGTCTTATCCAAGTTAACATTCAAAATATTATTTCTTCTCTCCCACTGCTACCTCAAGCATTTCCTTCTCTACCACCCTATGTAATCAAAACTCATAATAAAAACATCCACCTTAAATTACTTTGTACCTGCAACAAACAGGCCTAGTTGTTAGTTTTAGTTCTGTAATGGAAAGGACATAGTACAGCAGATATCTAAGTCATCCCTTTCTCCTGACTTCCTTTACATTCTCTAGTCTACGTTTTTTCCTTTTCCAAAGACAGAGATTCTGTCAGAACTTACGCATTTCTTTTTTACCTCAAGATCATTTCAACTACTCTTTGAAAATCTCCCTAGATAATAATTAAATATTCTTTACAGCTAGGTGAGATAATGACACAATTAATCAATGAGTCAGTAAAACTGTTCACCCTGTTAAACGTACTGAGTATTTGAGACACCACAGCCAGTCCATTACAAGACTTTTGTATTTTTGGTAGTATTACTGAAGTAAGTGAGGATGGATTACATCCTCACATCCATTTTCAGGAGGAATGTTACTAAACATCCATCCTAGAACTGCCTTATACTCTAGCAGTCCTTGTTGAAATTCTTTGTTTTGAACATCTCCAAATACTCATGGGACTTTTGTCTGCACTGAATAACAGGGTCCATTATAACCTAAAACCCAGCATGATTTTTAATATAGATGATAAAAATAAAATAGTTCTAGAAATTATAGTGTGAAGTCTAGTGTAATAACTAACACTCCCAGATCATCTCTGTGCTACTGAGGGTGTGGTTTTATGCTACACTTAACCTGGTGAGACGGCAGGTTGTCCTCACACTAGGTAGTGTTAGCTAACTCTTGGCAATGTGCTTCCACTTCTTCCCTCATTGTGAATGTAGGAATTATTCGGCCACACGTTGCATCAGTTCGCTTAGCTTTCCATCTGCCAGTTCCCTCAACTGAAATCAGTTCAATAACTGTTCACCCAGTAGCTAAACAATTGGTAAATGAGATGTAACTGGGGAAGGAAAGATGAAGGAAGACACAAATATGTCAGGTGGTGGAAGGGGCTTCGGTAGAGGGACCTGCCCCTTTGACAGCAGCCCACAGGTAGGCCTGATTAGATGTCATGTCAAACTGTATGAGAATGTGAAACTTTTGGGTTTTTTTTTTAATTCCCACATTAATGATAATTATATACAAAATAGATGAAGAACAGTGTATTTTTTGTTACTGGAACTGGAAAGAGGCATGTGTACTTTCCTGTTTCGACCTCACTGTGGAGAAGCTGGGTCTATCACACACCTTGTATCAGCCTTTCTGACAGCAGACAACATTTCTCATGGATTGCTCTTGAAGAAGGTATTGCTTGGTTGCTCATCTAAACCAATCACTATCTGCTTAGACATCAGTCATTGGTTCAAACAGCAGTCACAAATTGACTTTATCTGAGCATCCCAGAATTAATTTTCTTAGCAAGGCACAAGTAATTCTTCATTTTGATCAGAAATAAATAAGCTCAGCTGAACTTCCTATTTCTTATTTAAGCTACAAAAATATAGCTTTTCCTAAGTAAGTGGCTATTTTAAAGCTATGTCTTTATAGGGAGGATCAACTGTTCAGATATGTCAAGGACTTGGCGGCATCTGGTTTTGGTTACTTCAAGCAGAGCTAAAATTACATCGAAAAAACTGCTTAGACTTGTTACTACTCCCTGGTTTAGGTCCCAGAAGAATTTAAGGAAAGCTCTAGTTTCTTCTGTACAGGGACAAAGGTAATTTTTCCTGACTGGCATCCCTGTACTTCAAGGTTCATTCAGAAGTTCATTAACGTTTTGATCATTTATATCTAGAGTAACTGGGATCATTTGATCAAGAAATTTAGCATAGCTGTATAACACAGGAATATTTTATATACAACTTGATTGTTATCACAGGACAAACATTATTGTTCCTGGCATATCAGTTAATAAAAACCATCATACAGCTCATCCCCAGGCCACCGTTTTGTAATTAAAATAATTGGTCAGTGGGTGGCAGACTTGCACTGAGTTTATTGTGATTTTTTGGAAAGAGTTCTCTTATGCATTCTCCTCTTCACTCTCTCCTGCTTAGCCTGGTGCGATAACCTGGCATAGCAGATAATAAAGACCCTTGTTAGGTTCACAGGTTAGTTAAGCCAAAAACAGTAATAAAGATGAGGTGACCACAGATTATTTATATTATGTGCAACAGCAACACACGACTTCTAATAAATTAAAACTACTTCTGCTCCTAAAATTTACCTGTTAGACTGCAATTTTGAAACCAACAAATTGTTCAGCAGTTCTTACACATCTGTTATCTGTGACTTCCAGGTTTTGGGGGAAGGTATGCAGTTAGGATCAAATGCAGTGCCCTTAATAGTCATATGTACTTACTAATGTACAGTAATATTAGTCACCATATTTTTAAAAAGAGGATGACACACATGTTGAAGAATGTAAATTATTTTTATAAAGTTCAGTAACATTTAAAATTCAGACTTTTAAATATTTTCTAAAGAAGTCAAGAGTTTAGTGTCAACCTAATTTTTTTTTTGGTCTTAGTCCTCCCTCTGTAGTGCTGTTTCCATTTTATCCAAGGAAAATCCTTTTTTTTTCATTATCCATAGTACCATTAAATACTGATTGTGTTCTGTTTTGCAGAGTCCTGTCCTCCAGTATCTTTATTATCTTGCACAAATACCAATTGCTATGTCTCCACTTAGTAACAACAGCCTATTCCTGGAGTACTCAAAAAATCCACTACGGGAATTTCTACATAAGGGGCTTCATGTCTCTCTGTCCACAGATGATCCTATGCAGTTTCATTATACAAAGGTAAGAATTGCAAAAAGCACTTGTCTTTGAATTTGGCAACAGTACCACATAGGCCCAGAATGACCTGAAAGCTATTTTGTATCATTGCTTAGGAGATAAAGTTTCATGTCTCTCAGTCACTTCATTCATTATTCTTCCTCATTCTCAGTCTACTACTCACTGTTAGGTTTCAGAGGGAAATGTCTGATTTCCTAATTATGTTTCTTTTGTACTCTTGCCTCTCCAGTGTTGGCTGTTGAAGTATAGAATGAAGGATGAGGCTGAAGGGAGGTTTGAGCCTTCATAAACAATCCTCTAGAGTGCCAGGGAAGTCCAGTTTCCTTACTAATAAATCTGGGGAAGTACATTACAAAAACACCATGTGGAATCTCTGAAGATGACGTATGAGCTGTTGGCTCAGTGAACTAAAACCAATTCTTGCCCTTGGGTGGCCTGGCAGGACAGAAATGCCTGGTCACTGGTTTTGATGCCCCAATTTTGTGGTTGGCACTGACTTGAGTCATGCTGTGCCTTGGAGTGGCCTGTACATTGCTCAGTTGTCTGTGTTCTGAGGACAAGCTGAGCTCTGGTGTGCTTCACCCAGGCTTGCTTCTGGCCCACGACATGTCTCTGCTAGAAAAGACAGAGAGCTTCTGTGGGGGCTTTCTGCGTGGATGTAACGCAGCACCAGCCGAGTTACACATAGTGTGGAAGATCCTCAGCTGTGACAGCCCACTAGAGTCAGACCCAGCCTCCTTGTGTGGAGGGTCAGAAGTGAGAAATTGCCCTGCTATCTGTCTATGTACCTAGTCATTAAAGATTTACAACTAGATCCTCCAAGGTGTTCATATACCCTGGGATCTCATTTGAAACTGCCTAATAAATGCCTCTAAGGATCTGGACTGCAGGCTGCAATTTCTTAGACTAAGATTACTGGATACCCAGTGCTTGTTAATTATTTAACAGTTGCCCTTGGGAAATTTGAAATAAACAATTCCGTTCATGAGTAATTGTGATGTCTTAAACCTCTAATTTTTCACAGCTATCTAAAGAGCATGTATGAATTCCTTAATTAGTAATGAGTACATATCCCAATTTACATCTTATTTATATATAATTTAATATTAAACATATTTTGGTGATACAGGAAGCTCTCATGGAAGAATATGCTATTGCAGCCCAGGTGTGGAAACTAAGTACCTGTGACTTGTGTGAAATAGCACGAAACAGCGTACTACAGAGTGGATTGTCAGATAAGGTAATTATGGCTGAAAAAATCTCTTTTGTGAATATTAGGGCAAGTAGGAACTGGGAAGTCAATAGTCTGAAAATTGAATAGTAGGTGTTTATGTGATGTATTTGTGCACATCCCTATTCTCTTTTCCAGAAATATTCACAAACTATATCTGTTATGCAGTCTTACCTTAAAAAAAGTACTAACGTTACATTTTTCCTCATTAGCTTTGTTTTGGAATGCGCAAAACATGCAGAGAGACCAGGTGCCTGTTTATACTCAGTTCTGCCTCCATTCCCAAACTTTTAATTATTTGGGTGATATTCCTTTGCCCGTATTTTATAATCATGTCTTGCATTGAGTAAAAACAAGCTGCCTGTCATAAGCAAGACATGTTTTTGCTTAGAAGGGAGTGCTACAGAAAATATTCTGGTTTAGGTAGGCAGTCAGATTAGATTAAATTCCCTTTTGGCTTTAAAATTCTATACATCCATGGCTTTCTCTAGGACTTATTTTAGAGCATCCTCTCTTCTATGTCACTTTCAAACATTCCTCTCAAGGAGCTGGTATGTGAAGGGTTTTACAAGTATATTCTGTTGCTTCTTCCAATATTCTCTAGTGACAACTGCTAATCTTCCTCTTATGCAACATTTAGCTAGCAAAAGAAACCTAAGCCTCTTTTTGACCTCTCACATGAAAGACGTAGTAGTGAAGACCGAACACTAGCACAAAGGGTTTTAGCAAACAGACTGAGTGCACTGCTGAGTAATTATATATATAAACTTTGGCCTTAAAATCTCCAAAACTGGTTAAGACTCTGAGGTAAAGTTCAATGGCCAGCTGGTTGAAGCTGCTCTTCTCACTTGCACTGGAGTCATTCAACCAACAAATATTCAGTTATACAATAAATCAAAGCAGTTGAACTGACTTCTTCCTTTTTACGTTTAATTCCGTTCACAGGAAAAACAGAAATTCTTAGGGGTGAATTACTGTAAAGAAGGGCCTGAGGGAAATGACATTCGAAAGACAAATGTTGCACAGATCCGGATGGCCTTCAGGTACGAGACACTGTGCAATGAACTTAGTTTCCTGTCTGATGCTATGAGAACAGAAGAGATTTCTACTCTGTCAAAGTAGTTACAAACTCAAAGAAACCAGAACATTTCACTCCTAAGCAGGATAAGATGCTCATTAACATTGAATCATCTGTCTTTGATGCTACCAAGACATAACTGAACATACAGAGAAAAATAGAGTATCTATGGAAGGTAAACGGCATTTGCTGTTATCTTTTACTGCATTATTCTCTTTGCAAAAATTTCAGTTTCTACAAACATTAGGCTTTGTAAGATTGCTGTAAATATTAAATGCAAACTCAGAATCACGTAATATTTGTTTCATACTGTCTTAACTGTGCACTATGCTGTAGCTTGGAAAACAACAGAGAATATTCATAGCGCATCCTGTGATATGCAGCTTAGGATTCTGCAGATGCTGACAGTATACATGCACCTGTTTTTGTCCAGATAGTCGCAGTAGCAGTCATGGCATTTAGCACTTGTAATTTAACCCTTTATTCATTAGCAGTTTGTATGGGGTGCATTATTTTGAGGCTACCTTTTATTCTGGAAGGTGTTCTGACACAGTTTTTATCTTAATGTTTCAGCCGTTATACTGGAAAACAAGAAAAAAAATCCGGTAGTCTTGTTTAATGACTAATTAATTACTTCCTGTTGTCATGTAGGATGACTGTGAAGAACAGCAGATTAATGTTTTTTTAGTCTAGTAAGTAGAAAACACGGTGTCAAAATCATCACTATTGTACATTGTAATAACGAGTCTAATTATATCATGAAAACTTTGCCTTGAAAGTTGAGAACAATTTTTTATTGCTTTATAATGGGAATATGTGGATATGCCAGTTCAAATTACTTGGAAATGTATGCAGATAATTTTGCTTGCATGTAAAGAGAAATTTTTTACTTGAACAAAGGAAGTGTTCTTATGAATCAGTGGTAGAAACTCCAGACCTGGGTTCTGGTCCTACTTCTGACATCTTTTTACACGTTTGTGTTAGTTTGTATTTTAGTCAATTAGAGTTGAGTGAGAGGTCAAACTGTCTATTTATACAGAAGCTAACCCACTTGAAAGATGTCATTTCAAATCATGTTATGTTAAACTTCTTGTTTATGATGGAGTGGCTAGTAAAATGCAGCTACTGGAATATTTACCACTTTCAATCTTTTTTCTATTTGATCATCCTTCTTAAGACACAGTACTACACATTCAGAAAGGATTAAAAGTAAGAACATGATAGCATCTATATATTGTAGAAGCTGCATGTAGTTTCACACCAAAAAAGACTCAAAGCTAGGGGCAGCAGAGGATGTTGATGCCTGTAAGTCCAACCCAACATTACACTGCTTAATTTGAAGGCCTATAGTCCCTGAGCTAGGATCTTGAGCCTATGGTTAGAGACCTGGGTAACTAATATAATACATAGGGAGGTTAGGCATCTTAGAACAGTAATTCATAATTAATGCATAAAAAGCAAATAATGAATACTAGCCAATCAAGCCTCACTAGACCTAGAACCCTGCATGTTTCACTACATCAGACGTCTTGTGCCACTTGTATTTCTTAGGCCAGGCCCTTCTCCTGGGGCTTGGGCACCTACATCCTTCCTTTCAAGAGCTGATCAGGTCTCCCTTGTAAATGCAGCCAGAAGTAGCAGTGGTGACATCACCAATACCAAACAACTCCTTAATGGCATAAATGTATATATGCATTGAAGACATACACTCTCTCCTCAGGCTGTGGCAGTTCAAAGTACAAGGACACTTTTTTATTGTACCTGCTGTCCTGAATGGTGATTGCAGGGAAATGGCACCAAAGTAAGGGAAGGAGGAATTCCCTATCACCTCCTATAGCTGTGCAGCCCTGAAGGAGTACCGTAAGAGAGATTAAACCTAAAGACCCTTAGGAAGCAGCCTGGAAGTGAGGCTGCTCCAAGGGAGACCGAGGCACAGGAGCAGAGTTCTGGCCATCCAGTCACCATTACAGTTAGCCAGTGTCATGCATAGGGAGCTGCAGTGATTGCACATTCTTCATCCGAAATATGGTTGCTGACAGGTGGTGGGAGACTTGACTTTAGCTCTTCAGTGACCTAGCCTAATGTCTGCGGTGTTCAACTAGTGCCAGATTTTATATTCCTTGGGCAGCTAAAAATTGTGTGAAATCATGCTACGCTGCTCAATTGTATGATAATAAAACTGTCCAAAGTTCTTAGTCTACAATGCCTACTGGCCTCACAGAAACTTCAGCAGCTCATATAATGCATCATCAGGATTGGCAAGTGTAATTTTCTTAGGATAAAGTCTGAAAACAGTGGTTCAAGCATTTTAGCTACATAAAACGCAGATGTGTTGTTTTCATTAGTACAACTTACTAATAAATTGTTATCAACTAACATTAATTACCTACAAAAAGTATCTGTGTCCAGGATAAATAAGCAACATGCTTGGTTTGAAGAATTTAAATTGTAAGTATTTTCATTTGCTTTACTTGGGTTGTTTCACCGGAAGATTGCTATTAGTGCTGCTTTTGTTGTCACTTAGATTTCTTATTTAGTTTTCTTAAGCTTTCCTTACCTCAAACACATAAGGCTCTAATATGTCTGTAGCTCTTATTAAAGGAAAAAACCAAAACTGGATTTGAATATTCAGTTAATGGACAGTAATCGGGATTTTGACAATAATAAGAGTAACACACAAGTGGTTATGACCAAAAGTTCCGCCTTCTATGCTTCCTTGTGTGCTGCTTTTAAGGATAAATTGAGCTAATAATGTTACATTTAGGGAAACAAACCGACATCCTTTCAAGCTTCCAATACTACATCTCTTTTGGTCATCTTTTAATTAGGCAAAAGTTACTGATTCTCAGCTTCAGTTCTTAAACTTCAGCGTCTTTCCTTTTTTAAAGTTGCACTTCTGTTCTAATGTATGGCTGTTCAAAATAACCTTGCAGTCTTAGGATATATATGTAATGAAGGGCAGATCCAGTGTTGAAGTGTTACTGACATTTGAATTACCATTGTACACATTTACTCAAATGCAAAACAGGGCAGTTGCTGATTTCCCCCATTCACCCCCTCTCCGCCCCCGACCGTGTTCAGCTCAAACCTGGTTACACCACAGCTGACATTTTACTCAAACAGAGAGGGACTAGAAGAACATCATCGTAGCTGGTGATTGGGGCAGGTGTTGCTTCAGAATGGGAGAGTATCCTATTTCCTCATCATTTCATTGATGTTAAGGTTCAAACATTACTCAAGACTTAGCTCAGAGCATTTTATACTTTCACCTAAAATGGTTAATTATGGTTATTTGATGTTTACAACATATCTATCTGAACAATTTCTGGTGATGCTCTTCCATTCTGTTAACGTTATTTTAGCTCTGCCACTGGATAATACAATTTTTTTTCTCACCCTAGAGCCACCTTATCTTCTTCTATCATTGTTCTTTACTTGTGGCTAAACCTTTCTGTTCTATTTGCCTAGTTAAAATCGAAGTCTGAAAAAGGTGGGTGGGGGGAGGGAAGTCTGTAAAAACTGCTTTTTCTTTCTGTGCCTGGGTTAAATGATGTTTATCTTTTGCCTCTTGTGGAACCATTAAACATTACACTAATAAATAAATTATAAAAGAATATGGTTAGGGTTTTTGTGTGTGTACACCTCTCAATAAAATTGTAGCTGCTCAAAATCTCTGCATTTAAGTAAAACTAAAAACCTATGCAATTAAACCGTTAGCAGTACAGAAGACTAAACCAAAATTAAGGACTACCACAGCATGAAAACTGAAAAAAACCCAGTGGAGACAGAGAAGATAATAAGCAATATTTAGGAGAAGGCACTAAAAGCTTAGCTGACTTAAAGCAATTAAGTGTTAATGAAAACCGGCTGTTCTGATTTGTGCCAACAGAAGACCTGTCACTAAGTCCTGAAATGAAATTGTATTGCAGGGCTGCCCCCACTGTCTCTTGGTGCCCTGGTTCCCTGCTCATCCAAACTGGGCATCAGGGTAGGGCATGCAGCACCTCTCCTCCTGATCCTGGAGCCTCATCTTGATATTAAACTGAGAGTCAAAACACCTGAATTTGGGAGCAGGAAAGCAGTTCTGACACTCACAGTTGAAACAATTTAAGCAGTACACAGAACAGCTGTATCTGACAAAATACACAACTAAGAGCCAACAAGTGACAAATTGAAATAAATAGTATCAACATAGACATTCTGTTACAGTCAAGATGACTTTTGAGGAAAAAAAGTTTAACACAAATTACTTTCTCCAGTAGGAAATGTAATAAAGATCAAAATGTGTGTCTCTTTCTGTACACAAGCAGCACTCATGAAGCATAAGAGTACAGACTCATCTGTAACTGCAGAATGTGTACTTCTCCCCATACCTCTCAAAGCACTAAATACCAATGTTAAGCAGCATAGACAATAGTATATATAATAGTGAGATGCCAACACCACTAATTCATTAATCATTAACCATGACTAACAGGTACTGTCTCACATAAAAAATATTTTTTGGAAGGTCTGTTAAAGTGGATTGGATCCACATTAGCATGGAAGCATAGACTGTTGTATCAAAACCCTACCTTGTTCCACATACAACCAAATTCCAGAAGGGCAGATTTCTGACTAATTTAAGCTTAATTCATAAAAACACCTTGTATTTTTAAATAGCACTTTGAACCAAAGAAGACTGATCATTTAATTACCTGTTGGATAGTATTCTTCACTCCACCAGACTCACACTGGGCAAAGCTCCATCTAAGGTCACAAAACTGATAATTTTTTTTTAATTTCAGGCCTACAAAACCCATACGCAGTGTTTAATATTTTAACCTTGACAGTTAGGTTAGTGAGGTAAGCAATACGTAAGTGATCATCTGCTAACTAACATCTTGACAGCTCAGATACAAAAGTAGAATGTGTTGTCAGACCCCTCACAGACATAATATTTATTGGAACGTGGCTAGTTCACAGCAAAACACCTTATCTGGTGATTGGACACTGCGGTTACTGGAAAAGAACACTGTCCCATTCAGGTTAACTTCAGCTACAC